TTTGTGAGAAACACGGTATTCAGGCAGCTAACTTTAAAAAAATAGTTACACAGTAACTTAAAATTAAGACTATTTAAATAAAACCTCGACAAGACTTTTAATTTCTATCATATTTAAAGAAGGAGGGCTGCAAAATAGAATGAAGTGGACTTGATTAACTAATATAGAATACAAAATGTGCACTGTTTTTTTTCCAGCTATAAGACCCCATACCTTTCAGCAATTGCTTTAGCAAGGAAAGCCTTTTTGCGTTTATTTTTTTCTTCCATCAGTTTCTGTTCTTGTTGAAGGATTTCCCACCGAGACTTCTCCTGCCTGAACAATAACAAAATAAAAGAATCAATAAATAATTCTATTCCTTTTTGTCTCTTTATTTATATGGCCACTCATCTCATAAGAAACTCTGGGCAAAATACAGCAAATTTCTTAAACTAGTCTTTGTAATAAATAATTGTTGATATATCTAACATTTTTTTCAACATTTGAAAAATCCCAAGAAATTTTCCATTGCTAAGCCTGGATTCAAAGTCAGGTCTCTTAGATATACTTCGGATCTTAGTTATCCTCCCTAAAAATTCCTGCATTCCTCAAGAAGGCTACATGATCAAATAGTATGGATGTGAGAAAGGACAAGTGTTACAAGATCCAAAAAACAGAAAATCTATAAATTACACAGATTAGGGCCCTCAGAGTAATCTTAAATAGAAGTAGCACATAGCGTCATACTTCTGGATATAATTTCCTTCGACTTCTATAGGTATGCCCTCTCTGCAAATGAGGAGCCTTTGAAGGTCAAACTAAAACCTCAGGAAAGGTCACATACAGCAATCACAGAATAATTATTCCTAGTTGACAAAGTCTCGACTAGTTAATGATGATTCTACAGAGGCAGGTGGCCTGACATTATAGAAAACATAGAATTCATCAGGTGTAGTACACTAGACAAAATATTCCAAAACAAAAAGAGAAAGTTTAGAAAATTCTTGTTACCTAATACCCTAAAACCACTGAAAAATATGTGCATGTCAGTTTACTATAAAAATCTCCAATTAAATTATCAGGGATGGTAAAATTCTTGCAATGTTATCACAGACTTACTAACAATTCCATTTTCTTTTTCACAAGCGGATGACTTGTTGCTACAGTTGGGTCACTATTACAAGACTGTTTAAGTCCAACTTCCACCTCTTGACTTCTGGCCTCCTGTTGCTCAACCTTCTCCAGAGGTGACAATGCTGCTCCATCTGGCAATTCCAATTTTTCTTCTATCTTCTGAGGCACCTTTTTCTGCTGCAGACGTTGGCGGCTTTTGTTTACTGAAGGCCCTTGATTCTGTTGTTTGGACAGGGGTCCTGGCAGATCAAAATAGCACAAACAGGTAGATGTTAGTTTTACACAGCTGAAAAAAAATCACTTCTGACAAAGAAATGTATGTGAGATCATAAGTCCTGAGTTTAGCCCTCATAAAAACTATTTAAAGTATTTTAAGTTGGCGTGGTATTAACTGATATTTAAAAATTATAAACAAACTATTGGCCCAAACTACTAAGAAACACATTTCTACAGCTCCTGCTAACATTACAAGTAGTACATAGACCTAATTTGCAATATATGGTAAACTTTCTTTAAGCCCAACAGTTCCTTGTTGCCATACTTTCATATAATCTACGAGAAGAGGATATTGCTGTACAAATGGCAGAACTTTTCCATTTTTATTCAAAAGAACTGAGATTTGCAGACCAGCACTAATTTTGGAATCAAGTCTTTTTTTCATGACAACAGTTTTTCTTTTTAAATTAATGTCAATAAAGAACATGAATCAAGGATTGGTCCTTTGCATCTTTACTCCCCACCTCTGCCCAAATAACAATACCAGTAATTTTCCCTGAATATTAGCCACAGGAATTCAGACTGATGTAAGTTGAAGTCAAAACCCATGTAGACTCTAACAAGTTATCTGTCCTTACCACTTTCCTTTGGGAAAGAAGATTCATTATATTCTTTGTTTTTGTAGGAAAATTGTTGCTTCAGCTGAGATTAAGATTGGCAGATGATGGAAAAGTCTGCAAGGTCCCAGAGACTCTCAAACTCTGGTTTCTTAAATAGGGTTTGGTCTGGGAGATTATTTAGGCCAGGGGTGTCCAACCTTGGCAACTTTAAGCCTGGAGGACTTCAACTCCCAGAATTCCCCAGCCAGCTTTGCTGGCTGG